AGAACCCGGTTTGCCAGGCTGGCTTATCTCTAGGATAGTTGAAAATACAGACATGGTAGCGTTACCCACCTCTTCCGTTACTGCCCGGGGTGAGAGCATTGACCAGGGTAGCTGAAGAGCAATGTTCTTGTCCAGCCTTACCCTCGGGAAGGGATTTTGTCTCCATCTCTCCCTCCTGAGGAAAGTGCCAAACTGTAGGCAATGCTTGGATGGGCACACTCTGTATCTCTCTTATCTTGTCAGTCTGTGCAGCAAAGAATGAAGGATTTATAGGGGTGGAGAGAGACCCTGCAAGGGGGTGCAAGCCCGAGTAGTTCACACTGTAATAAAGTCACTGTCTTAAGGGGGGTGAAGGGGGATTTCCTGTTTTCTGGTCTCTGCTACAAGAAGTACTTTTACATGAGTCATTAGATAAAAAGGCATAATAGCACTGAGAACAGGGACTGGACTGCAGTAGGCTATCCCACTCCCTCCAACTACACACTCAAGTTATTCATGTCACCATTAGAAATGTCAAAGCTATTAAGAAATGTTGCTATGTATTTCAATGTGCTGACACCCTAAAGGACTTTCAGCTTCGCAAAAATGCCAGCAGGGGAAATGTGGGCCTAAAAGGTTCTCTTGGCATAAATAAACAAATGATTACTATAACATTTTTTTTTCCCCCAAACCAGAAGAGGCTATTTTTAAATGTGGAGATTGAACAGAAGTAATCCTGGCTTAACTTGATTGTTCAAACTGTGTAGCCTAAGTGAAAGGGTTGTGTCAATGACAGGGGTTGTTTGTAATCCACCTGCAAGGCCAAGTTGTACGTGTGAGTATTAATAACCGCACTTCATGATTAATAACTGCAGTGATTATGGTATAATACTGATATGTTGATAATTATGAGTAATACTGATAATAAGAAATAATCAAGTAAGAGCTGATGAGATTTTGATACACATGTAAATACATGTATTGTGTAGCCATTAAGAACTCACCTGCTGAGTGTACTAATCAATAGCTAATCAAAACAGTTGGGAAATGTTTGGAAATGAATATGTAGAGTAGCTAAAGGCATATTTTAAAGGGTGGCTTAAGGGCTTCAAGCTTTTTGCAGAGTGACTTTACTATGCTCAGGCACGTCATTTTTGCCGGAGTGCTTTAATGATGTCAACAGGGCTGTGAGTACAGAAATGAATAATGAACAGCTAGCAAGGATTTTTGGCTGGGTTTCTTGCATCTAGGGTAAAAGAGGGCTAACGTCTGTCTCAGATCCTGCTGGAACAAGCCAGCAAATGCTGAGAGCATCCTTTGGAAATGGTAGAATTGCTTGGCCTACTGCCTTCTGCCAGATGATGCTACGTAGTTTTAGTGTGTCATACATGAAACCAACCCCAACAATTACAAAATCTCACAGTAATATCCAGGGCTGAGCAAGAGAGGCAGAAGGAGCCTACATGCCAGAATTTCTATGCCAAAGTGAGGAAGATCTGAATATTGTTCTCCTACCTCATGACAAGAGACCATTTGGACACTAGCAATAGTCATGAGATCTCATTTGTGCAGGCTGGCACTAATCCATTCAATACAAAACACATTTAGAAAGGCCCCCCTGGTAGAGGTAGTGGAAGAACCAGGTCCTATTAGCAAGCCCACGCTGCCTGCCTGCTGTGTGCCTTCACACAAGGTGAGGTGGCAGCACTAGGACGGGATGTCCTATCTTGTGGAGATATGACATCTGGCCCTGCCTTTGGCACACCCATCGTCTTTTTGCATTAGAAAAATGTAAAAATACAGTGTTTCTAAAGAGAAAGCACTGGGAGCAGGTAGTCCTTTGCTTCGTCAAGGTAAGTGGGACCTCCCTTGTAAGCCCGTCTCAGATGGGGAGCGTTCAAAGCTGCGGTTTCCCAGGAAAGCATCCTTGTCACCAGAATATCAGCCAGGACAACAGCTTTCTCGCATCTCTGCTGCTAAAACTCATCCACTGTAAAAGAAAATCCAAGGTCGTGGGGAGCAGCAAGGTTATGGGTAGGAGTAATTTGACTCCATGACTCTCTATGCTGTTTGCACTGTACTTCATTCTTGCTAAGTAAAAAGCATAAAACCCCATCATCCCCCTTCAGTGTATCTAGACCACGTCCTTGCTGTCTCAAGCCCCTGAGCTCTTTGCTCCTCCCTGACTGGCAGCATGGGCTCGGCAGGCAGAGGAGCCCGTCTGCGGAGGCAGCAGCAGGGGCCAGCCTTGTCTGGGCATGTGTAGTACCAGAGACAAGGGGAGGAAATGCAGGACACAGGCAAAGTGTTTTACAAGTTGATTTGTGTTGATTCACACACTTGAACTGGTGAAGCGCATTTCCTTACCTGCACTCAAGTGGTAACGGATTCTGGACTTTTTTTCTGCCTTCAGCCACTTGCTGGAATCATGGGTGAAGCTACAGGGCACTGGTGCTTTAGGGCTGGAAGGTTTTTAACCTGAGTAACTTCAGTGATAAATGTGCTCCTGCTGTTACTGCGCCTGGAGCACAGGTTGGTGCCTGCAAAGGCATCCATCCTCTTTTTCCCTGTGTAACCTGCAGAACCAGATATTCTGCTCTACCGTTATGCAGTCCCATGGTATTACCGCATGTCCACAAAGGACTGTAGCCGTAGGCCTTGCAGGAGGGAGGTCTGCCGTGGTCCAGTCAAGGCTTTTTCTGTGTTGGCTGTTTCTAGTTGTCTTTTAGCAGGTATTCATCCTTTGGCTCCTGGCCCCTTGCTCCCCTGCTTATCTGGTTCTCCCCCTCTTACATTTTCCCTCTGCTCTGCTCCTATTCTGGCTCATTTTTACTGCTCCCTCCTCTTCCCCCAGTCTAACTTCACTGTACACGCTCAATGGCGTATGAACTAGCAGAGATTTCAAGTGGAGTTTGGAGGCACTCTTGGAAACGGCCTTGTTGCTCCGCCTTCCCCCTTGCCCTTTTCACATCTTTCTATGTCAGAATCTAAATCCTGCAGATCAACAGCATTGCTACAATGCAGCAGAGCAAGAATTTTCCCTAGTTATCTGTAAATTAGCAGAAATACAGACTAAAAGCTAGCCTGGCATCTATGGCCATGGAGGCTCTGCGGGCAGGTGTCTGGCACACCAGCAGCTGCAGGTACCTCCGAGAACCGCATCCGATGGGGATGTGTGGCATTCCTCTTTCTTTGGAGGAAAACCCAAGCACTCTCAGCAGTGAGAAGGCTCAGTCCAGCAGGGTTACCAAGGTGGATTTTGTGCTACACCTAGAAGCTTTCAAAACTGTGCGCTAGCTTTGGCTAGGCCAGCCTGGCTTCATCCAGCTGTGACAGGATTTTGCCCTAAATGATTTCATCTATTTCTGCAGCTATGGCATGCACTTTTATCTGGAAGCAAACTGTTTACTTATTTGCTTTTAATTATTTATGGTAATGAAATAGCAGCCATATCTCAAAATTTTCCACAAAAATGAATACTCTTGCAGTTCAGATCTGTGGCCATGAAAGAAAACACAGTTCCCCACTGTTGCTTATAATGTTTATTTGTTTTTAACTTCAAAACACAGGTGATTTTCTCAAAACAAATAGAGTAATGGGGGAAATGAAGGCGGGCTCTCTTTGTAACTTTCCCAAGAAACACATCTGGAAAAGCATGTTTTTGCAAAACAACTACATTTTAGCACACCCGGACAGTGAGATTTCAAAAAGTCATAAATAGCAGTGACTTAGCAACCAATGCTGTTGGGGCTTTTTTCTTCTCCCCCCCCCCCTTGTTTAACTTGCAAACGGCACTAAATGAACCCACAATTTCCACTGCTAATACAGAGACATTTTTACAGAAGTCTCTGAGTATGCAGTTAATTTCCAAGATGGGGAATTATGAAGATATACCTCCTCACTTTGATTCTGTAAAAGAAATTTGGTGGAATAATTGGATATTATAACATCTGATAGTCTTGCTACTGGTTTAAGCCTACAGCTTAGCTATTTAAATCACTATCCTTAATTGCTACTTAATTATGTTTACCTAAAAGTCATTTTTTACCCATAGGCAGGTACAAAAACTTTCTTTAGAAGCAGCAGTGAAGTGTTGCATTATATTTTGTAAATAGCTCTGATGCCACACTTCATCAGTACTCTTAAAACCTTAGTGTCATTTTTGGTTTCATTGCCTGTACAACATCTCTTGCTCCACCTTAATGGTCAGGTAGAAAAACAACCAGTTTGGAGACAGATCAGTAAAATTAAAGTAAAATTAAAGGCCAGCTTTCCTGAATGCTACAGCCAGGCCCTGCTCACCGGGAAGGTCAGGGAAGGTGGAAATAATTCTGCAGACCAACGAGGAAAAGTACGAAGCCACTGTTCAGACTACAGTGACTAGAAAATGCCAAGATCTACAACTCCTGGCACCTGCATAGACACACACAGAGTCAGGCACAGACGATCAGACACATACCCATGCAGGCACAGGGCCTGGGAGCCCCACGGTGGGCACACCTCGGTGCCCTGCAGGGAGGACACGGCTTTGCCTACCAGATTGCAGTCATTGGAGCTGCAGCAGCTCCACAGCAATCTCAGCAGGGCCCATCTTCTCCTACAGCCTGGGCTGCGTAGCACCACAGAGCTCAAACGATCCTCTATGGCTGGGACTGTTGAAGAGCAAAAAACATATTTGGAAATGCAACCTCCTAATTAACAAAATTTGGGTAGGAGCATATTAGTTATTTTTGCTAGCTAATGCCTGCTCTTCACAAGTCAGTCTTCCTTTTCCTGCATGCGTGTGAAAATCGAATGTTTCTGGCACTGGGTGTGCTGCCCACATTGTAATGTGCTTTGTAGCTTTTTGTACCTACATAGAAGGAAAATATCACTTTACCATCTGATTTGCTTGAGTTGTACAGTCATCAGTGCTATAGCAAGAAACAGATGGACTGGGAATTAGGAAATCACTCAAGCGCTGATCTGAAGAAGGTCTTCCTGAACGCAAAGTGGGTGCACATGTTAAGTGGCCACAAAACTTACAGTCTGTCACATTCAATATCAGGGTTATTAGATGGTGTATCGAGAATACCAAAATACACTTCCCTGTTTGCTGGAGGTGGGGTATTGGTTGGACTTCCCACCCCAGAATCAGGGCTTGGTGCAAGGTGCATTTCTCCTGCATACTTCTCTTCTTTCTGAGAAGGCTCTTTTTGCTTGAGGTTTTTGAAACGTTTGAGCTTCACGGGGTCCTTGACTTCCTTGGCACAATGGAACAAGATTAAAATGTCCCTCCGAAATTTGGAGCTCATTCCAAAGTAGATAATGGGATTGTAGAAGCTGGCAGACTTAGCGAACAAACTGGCAAGGATGCTGGTAAGATTGGGCACAGATTGACCATAGGCAGACCATATAGACATGACGGCGTATGGTGACCATGCAATAATGAAGGCTGTGCAAATGACAATAGAAACCTAAAAGACACAAGAAGAATAGTCTTAAATCTATTCTGGAAGACTACATCAGGGAAGCAATACATCGGGAACAGTAGCTTGGACACTTGGCTGGAAGGGAAACATTCAGATTGTCCTGAGGGTATGGCTCACAGGAGAGTACAGGCAAGCAAAAGGTTAGCTTTGATGGAGCCGGGCAGACCTAGAAGCTATAGATCTAATTTTGGCATGCTGGTGTGCTTGAGCAACGCCTCATCTAATGGAAAGAAAACAGCCACAGTCCCCTGTATGTTTATATGAATTAAGAGGGTTTCAGGTAGACTTAAGTCAATGGCAAGTAAATTGAAAGCTCCACTGTAACTTCTGTGTATGCTCAGAAGTAACGTAACTTCTGAAAGAAAAGAGCATATGCCAAACCAAACTTTTGTTTTTGTGCAGTATAACCCACTCCAGTTATATTTAGATTATTTTTCACATGTGATGTAGCACCAATATTTTAGCCAACTGACAGGGTAGGAGTTTTAAACAATCCTCATATTCTTCACTGAGTTCAGATTCTGTCAGTAGAGATTATAGAGAAATGAAATGTGACTGATTTGTTTTGTTCTCTTCTGTTCTAGTTGGGACAATTTTTGGAAAGACAGATTTCATTGAGGTAAACATAAAACCCAAACTCACCCTGGTGACGTCCCGCTCCATTCTCCTCTGTCTGTCTGTGGGGTCACCCAGTCCTGTTAATGCATGGCTTAGCTTGACAGTATTGATAATTGACACATATGAGAAGACCATGACTGTTACAGGTAGGAAAAAACAGCAGATAAAAATGGAGATAATGTAGGACTTGTAGATTGTAGAGAAGTTGGCTTTTGCCCAGTCTATCTCACATGTCCCATACATGCGATCTGGAAAGCAAGAATAAGTTGGTTAGCATTTTTAGAACACTTATCTGCTTTTGAGAGATTAATTTATCAGTTCAAATGCTGTATTTTTCTTCTTTTAAGCACTAAAGAATGGATTGATCTTTTTGATTTAATGAGCTGTGACATCATTTCCTACATAAACAATTTTTCAAGACCAGCTAGACTGTAACAAGTTTTAATGTGTATTATCGTTCTGTCCCGTTTAGATTTCCAGTGTAAATCCATAACGCACAAACTGTTGTTTCAGAATAGGAAATTGTGATACGTTATTAGAAAACAAAAAGGGTATTCATCCAGTAGGTTTGATATTTTTGAGTGTTATCTACTCTTATTTGACATAATCTTCTACATAGTAACTTCCTAAGATGAGCGCTGTAACACCATAACAAGCGATTGTAAAGAGACAATATGCCAAATGTAAAAAGTCACTACTTACATAGCAAAGTAGGTAACAAAAATACTGAGGTTTTTTTAATAGAAACAAAAAGGCAATGAAATTTTTACTGTAGCGAGAGCCAAGAAAGCAAATTGATGCAGCTAATGATAAAGATTATGGGAAGATGAAACATATAAATACTTAGAAAGATATGAGACCTCTTGCTAAATTGGAAGCTTACAGTTCTGCAACTACAAAGGAGCTGCAGGCTCTTATAAATGAAGTTAGGCAGATTGCAGGATCTGCAGCTAGTGGGATTTACAAAAGGACACTAGCTGATGAGGTACTTAAGGGAAAGGCAGTGGGAATAAGGTGCAGTCTCTGCTTAAATACTTTTATGAATAACAGTTGACTTCTTTAGACCCTCTGATGTGTTTGCAAATGTGTCCTGATACAAAACTTGAATTCAATAGCCTTAGAGGTTTTCTATAGATTGTGAATTGTTGATTTTTCTTTTTAAGTGGAAAAAGCTGTTTTTTCTGACAGCTCTGGCAACAAATTGAATTATAAATAAATGAAGCATGAACGAAAATTATGTAAGTCAAGTATTAACAAGCCCTGGCGATACAATACAGGTGAAGCCTGCATGATTTAGCAACAGATCTCTCCCTGACATCCAGTGATCATTCTGAAGAAAAAAAAAAAATCCCTTAATTCCTCACAGGTGATAGGAGGTTTAGACAGGATGACTTAAAGGAGCAAAAGATGAAAATCTCTTTTATGATTCTTGTCAAAAAGAGCTCAGTATTTTTAACACCAAAAGCTCTAGGTGTGCTGTCTGGATGTGTTCAGTAGTAGAAATAGATTTTTGTCTCCTTTGCCTTTTTCATCAGTAGATTCCAAGATTCAAAAAGATAACCATAAAATCTGGCTTAATTCCAGGTTTCTGGTTTGTGAATACTTTTGAGTGAAAAAAGAAAGCAGCCTCCAGGTGACATGAGAAGAAAATCCTGCAGATTTTCTGCGAGTCAGAATTCAGAGCTGCGTGTCCCCCCTCCGCAGAGACACTGGCAAGTGGCATTTTGAAAAATCAGCAGGGTCCTGGGGACCCTTGCAGCTGCTGTGTAGAAGTGAGAGGTCCGAGGCAGCCAGGTGTAATGTGCTGTGGTCTGTCTGCACCCGCTGCCTGCTCCGCTGCCTGCTGCTGGGCTTGCCATTGCTGGGCTTCCGCATCTCCATGGGTGTCCTCAATGGAAGCGTGTTCAGAGTCAGATAGCCCAGGAACCTGAAACCGCTGTGATTCTCAGTAGGGAAAAGTGCTCCTAGAAGTGGCCTTGAAGACCGCTGTCGGGGGATTGAATCCAAAGTACAAACAGGATCCATGGGGGCATTTGGATGCCCTGACAAAGCAGCGATGCGCAAGAAGTTCCTGGCTCCAGTGTAAGGCCAAAAAGGGACATCAGAAATCCTTCTACAAATGAAGAGCTAATAAGATTAATGTAAAAAGAAAACACAGATCACCAGAAGATATACAGAAAATGACCAGTCCAAACCCCCAAGTTTATGACATATCTAGAGTGCAAAATCATGACATAAAATTAGAACAGTTTAATAAACAGTTTGGTTTTGTCTCAAACAAAAGATCCATTGAGCCTAATATACTGGTAACATTTTGGTTTGGGAAGGATAGAAGATTTAACCAATCTTAGAAATGGATGCTTTTCTCACACCCATACTTCAAGGGTCCAGAGGTACCTCAAAGCTTATGTATTTAATAAGTAAGAGGATATAGTCACATAGCTGCTTTAATAAGTCTTTATAGCTTTCATGACTTCTCAAAGGATGCAGATGCCTACAGGATCCCGGCAGAAAACTGCTGGAGAATTTCAGTCACATGATTTCAGTTGTTAGGACTCCTGTATCGTTACCATTTGTTCCTAGAGATTTGTTTTGTTGAATTTTGAGAGACTTAATCTGAGACAATTTCTCCAACTTTTCCCCATGAAGAAATTTTCTGGTGTGGGAATATCCCTTAGCCATTGAATTACTGCAGTGTTTGCTATACAAAATTTTTCCTTTTTTTCCCCCTCTTTTTTTGCTATGGCCTTATCTTGCACCCTAATCGCTTCTTGGACCGACAAACTTTCTGACATCTTTTTCTTCTGCTGCTATGTTAGTTTTTCATATTTTCCACAAACTGTTTCACCAAATCTTTCTGGCTTGTCTTATTATAGTTTCAGGTTTAACTTGCTGGAATTTGTGTTATTTTCTAGCTTCCTAATCTTGACAGTTTTTGGAGAATGTCTTTTGAGAGTTTCCTTTATCTCATTGGTTAACCATGCCAAATATTCCTGGCCTCTCTTTTGTCATAGGTAATATACACTTGGTCCAAGTCTTTCCTGTAATATCTTCAAAAAAATCTCTTTGTAGCTGATACCAAAGCAGGCAATGCTCTGCACGATGAATGATTTTCTCAGTTCCACTGATAATCGGTCTGGTTTATCACAAACAGCAAGAAAGGTAAGTATCTATCTTTGTTTAGTTAAGTGGGGGGGTGCCAGATGAGTACAACTGAAAGATACCTGTTACCTGTGTAACTGCCCCAGCCAAATAACGGAGCTGCTGACCAGAAGAAAGCTGCTATCCAAATGAGAACCAGAGCCACCGTCATACTGCTGTTGCTGATGCAGTGACCTGCAATGGCATGGTTTAGTCAGACAATGATATCTAGAAAGACAAACATATCTCTGAAATCTAAATGCACTCCTATACCAACAAGTAATAAGGAAAATACAGCTATTAAAAAAAAATTAAGACAAAAAAAATGCATATTCATAAGAAAAGCTTAAATTTGAAAGTATCTGTCAGACTTGTGTTTGAGACCATTTGTCAACAGTGGAAATGAATGGCTTTTAGGCAGGAGACAATGTGTTTGTTGAGCACTGCAGAATTAGCAAATTCTACGTTAGACGTGTTTTGCAATTTTGTAAAAAGTGGGAAACAGTTAGATGTATGTTGAGTTTTACATAGAAACAAACAAGATAAGTCTAAATTCAGAGGATTTTCTCATTCACTTCAAGGCTTTCCCTGTTAAAAATGGGAAAATACATTAGGTGCTCAAACTACATTAGCCATTCAATACAAATTATTTAATCTGTCCTGCTGTTGCCATACATTGTGGTTATTTCTTTGTTTACGTGGGAAATATTTACGCATCCACGAATCTCTGTTCCTCAACATTTCTCTAAAGTTATACTGGGTACTTGCTCAGATTTCCTCAAGAGGCAAGCATAAATTATGCACACCCTCAGATGAACATGTGATACAGCTTTGCAAAAGAGAAACATGGGTTTTACATACAACTTCATAATATGCAATGAATACAAGATGTAGAATACATCACAGCCAAATTCTAGCAGCTCCAACAGCAGTTTGTGTTGAAAATTAACTGCAACAAGTCTATCATTACAACAAACTGCAGAAGAACTTCCTGTGGAAAAAAGACCTCCCTGCAGGAGTTCTTGTCACAGCTAATACTACTCATGGTATTAGAGAGAAAAACTCATATGATGCATCCAGTGTATTTATGCATGCTTTACCTGCGGACATTAATAGGTTCCTGCCTGAAAGATGGTGCAAGCCACTCATAACAAAGGCGTGAAAATTGGTAATACATTATCTAAGGCTGGGTGAAAGGAAGATTTTCCTGGGAGAATTTATGGAAGGTGTAGGTATAAAGAAGAGAGATTACTTAAGGCTCTCAGTGGAAGTCAAAGTTTTCAGCAGGCAGGAGGTCCAGGATGAACGGTAAGGAAAGGTTTCTACTGATCCTGTGGAAGGGAGTGCCTGGGGTGAGTGTGGTGATGTAAAGAGGCATAAAGGGAGAGGGGTAGATGACGGCATGTTTATGGAGACTTGCTGATGAGGGGTCCACAGGGCAAGAAACGTGTAAAGGATTTCAGACCAGATTTGTTCAGTGGAACACTAGTATGCCTTTACAGAGGCATTTATACCAAAGTTTAATAAAAAAATTAAATTCAAAAAACCAGAAAGAGAGTGGTTAGTAAAAGGTTTCTAGCACTGGAGAAAGTAATGAACAGTTGAGTTGTTGTTTGAGATATTCAGGTTACAGATCAACAGGGCACTAGAGAAGGAAGAAGTGTGGGTGCGAGGCTGTGGTGATGATGCTTTGCAGGTCTGGGAGACAGGCAGGAGACAGGGATCGTCCGGGCAGGGTCGGGTCATGGTCAGTTCTGGGGATGGTAGGAGTAATTTTCATCTCCCATGGTGTGAAACTGTCCACCGAGGGGAGGCTGGAGAGGCATGTGGGGATGCCAGGCTGCGCAGTGCTACAAAAGCTGGAGGCAAGATGTGCAGACTGAATGTTCCCAGTGCCATCTAAAGCAGTCCAGGATGCCTGCTGTGCGCAAACCCTGGCAAGACACCCTGAAAAGTGAAAATGTTTGTATGCAGGGCAGCCTTCCGAACCAAGGATCTTATCAACGACTGGAAACTTCCCAAACATCATCTCATAGAAGATGAAATTCTTTGCTTAAAGTGAGATCCAGACAACGATGTATGCATCGCTTAGGAGTCATTTAAGTTGCATTTTGAATAATACAGAGGGTCAGCCGGACCTGTGGTATCTTTGGCACAAGGGTGAATTTAACCCATGGTGACCAAAGTGTACTAGTAATAATTTGGCTCTTATTGGGGTTAACCCTGAAGGATTTTATGCAAACATGTTTGTAATGTAAATGACTGTGTTATGTTCTGGTTTCCAATTCATCTAATTTATATTTGATATAGCCTGTGACTGAAAGAAATACAGATTTGCACCAGGTTCAATGAAGGCAGAACTGGACTTGCCTTTATTCCTTACCTCTCTCGGGATGGCAGCCCCTGATGTAGCGAGTCACACTGATTACTGTAAGGGTATTAATGCTAGCTAGGCCAAAGAGAAGCGTCAGGAAGCCATCAACCTGAAAAACAAAGCAGTGCAGGATGTTCTTTTACTGCAGAGAACCGAAGGGGAAAAGAACCACAGGGATTGCTCCTGTTGTTTTCATGTTAATGCTCTCGAAAGTTTTTCCAGAAACCCAGCTAGCAGGGAAATATAAAACATCAGGTGCAGTTATCTTCTATAGGATCAATGAGCAAGTAAGTGTTCAAAAAATTATCTAAATGCCCTGCTGTGTACATAAAATAAACAAGCAAACACATCCTTACATCCATGCTTCCTTGGAATGACTTGCCAAGTGAAGGAGGAAAAGAACTGAAAAGAAGAAAAGCCCTGAATAGGCAAAAATGCACTGGATGCAGCTGCTCCGCTTAGGCAGAACAAACATGCAAACTGAACCCATGAAATTTAGGCCAAAGAGGGAAGAACGTAGGAGGTAATGGGCTTGGCTGAGTGAGAAAAGCTTTTTAAAAAATTAAATTAAACCATCCAAAGCTAAACCGTTCCGACAGATTGAGTCTCAGTGTTGGTGCTACTGATTGCCTGCTATTTATTAAGCCCTAATCCTCACCACCTCTGACTGACGCAGGCAGAGCCGTACGGCTGTGTAGGCTCCCACTGACGTCAGTGTCTCAGCGACAGACGCACAGGACGGTTACAACTCTGCTAGCTTCACTTATGGGTATAGGAAGGAAGTTGCTGCTGACTGTAGTGGAGATGGGTGTAGCCATCTGCTAGGGAGCACTATATGACTGGGATGTGATCCAGGCAAAATGCTGAAGGCAGTCCTTTTTCTGAAAACTTGCAATGATATACAAACCGGCCAGAGCAGAGGGGCTCTTGGAGGTGCCAGTTTTACACCGAGTGAAGCAGGAATATTAACCGAGTGTCTCTGGACTGTAACTTGGCATTCAAGTGGTAAAATTACCGGCGGAAAGGCACATCATTATTCTACGGGAACAAACTCTGTCTTTGTGTGAACGGGCACAACTCCCGTGGAATTCAGTTTATCACAGCACTGAATCTGGGGCTTTAATCCAGGCTTAAAGCTGAGACCATGGCGGATTGTATAAGTTAAACTGGGTGAAGGGTTAGGAAAGGGCTGCTTCATCATTTCTTTCACTGTTGGTTTTTCTTGCTACTAACGCCCTTATATTGACTCTATATACTTCTTAATGCCAAGTTTTACAGACCCACCTCATTTTAAATGCGTGCCAGACTTGCTACCACAACAGCCTACATCCACCTGTGCTCCACTTACAATCAGCTCATGCTTGGTGTATAAATGCAACCATGTTTACACCAGAAAACAGGCTTCCTTGGATGTCTCAGCTACTTGCTAGAAGCTGCACTTGGATGAATTTGGCTTGCTGTGTGCTGTGGAGAATGGTGAAATACCTGGATATGTAAATGTCTTCTGCATTTCATTAGCCTTATTGATGCAAATAGCTGCCACTTCTCCATTTGCTCTAACAATGCTTCATAGGTGCGGAAAACAGCGTGGCCAAGGACTACTGAGAAACCAGGCTGCATAAGCTTAAGCAATTGCATTAGCTATTAGATTAGAAAGGAAGCAGTATTTCAGCAATGATGCTAATAAACACTTTGAAATTAAATCTAAAGAGCTATGAGATTGAATACTAAAGTAGTAGGACAAGCTGCTTAGTGTGTATCATAACCCTCCTATGCTGAAACTGGTTAAGTTTTTCTGAACTACATCGGTGTATGTTTTATCACCTCTGGATGTGACCATTATTCTCCCACCCACCTTCCCTGACGTCAGACCAAAGAGAGACCATTATATTAAGTGATCAGTTCAAACAGCCCTTGAGCGCACTTACAAGGGAGGAAAGTGGGTCTAAAAATACACTCTTGCCCTTTACCATTTAAGATGAAAATCTGTCACCGTAAGAAAGAAGAAGCCAAAATGTTTTCTTTGGAGTGGTGACTTGCTAAAAAAAATGCAGTTTTACCTAAATCAAGATCGTTCATAGGACCGAGCCATTGTCAGCGCCATGTCTCGTTTTTGTACTATTTCATAACAGCATTTCAGCAGATCAAAATACTGTTGCTTCTGCTAGTGTGGGGGCTATCGTCAGAGATTTGACCAGGGCCCTATGGTTAGTCAGTGGCTAAAGTGGCAGCAGTCTTGCGGGGGCGGCTGTGCTAACTGCCCCCGTGCTAGCCACAGGCTCCGCAGTTTAGGAACAGGTGACAGGGTGAAATGCCGAGGAGGAGAGGGAGCTCTGGGGACGACTAGAGTGCCAGGATGAAAGGAATAAAGGAGGTAAATGAGGTGGCTCTCAAGCTGCAGAACAGCCCATACAGAGGCCACGGCATCTGGAACATTAAAACGTGAGAGAGCATCCAACAGAGTTAGGGCTGCTTTGGGAGTAGGATCCTCAAACCAGCATTGTCCCTGCCAAACTTCTACTAGCAACGAGTTAGCTCTTGAGCCTAGCTATGCACACGCCATTTCCCAGCAAATCGATCGATTCTGCAATACTTTTATATTGGTGTCACTTAGACATACGTCTTCAGAAGAAAACGAGGGATCTTACTCTAGCTGTAGCCAACCTACTTCAAGCATGCACCTACTGGATATGGAAGAAAGATCTCTGCTCCTTTTTCTGCTCCTGAACAGACAACACTGACTGCAGGTAGCAACCAAAGCAACTGCTTGGAACCCAAAGTAGTTAGCAACAGAAAAACTGCTTTAGCATAGTCCCGATTTCTATAGGCAGAGATATTAATATATGTAGGTAACAAAAATATATGATATTCTCAGTTTTCTGCAGCTTTAAAGATTTATGGAATGTCAGCCAAGGAAATACTAGAATAGTAGATAGCATTTAATTACTTTGGAAGACTGACGCTCCTCCCCGGTTCTGGTTTTCCTTTTCTTTTGTCCTACCACCCAGCCAGCTCCTTCCTTTCACAGTCATAATATTTCCTCCATTTTTGTGTAATGCAATTTTGTCCTTCTTATTATTAATTACGATCAAAGAGCAGCAGTGTTAATAGGCAATAATGAATTCTGACATAAACATGAAGTTGATTGCATGGTAATTTTGATCCACCAGCTTTCCTTTCTACCCATTAAGAAACACGAGTAGATTAGCAGTTTTAAAAGCTTTTTCTCAGTGCTATACCCATATTACTCCCTTGGCTATATAGATTCTCACAGAACTTGCTCATTATCTTTATGTATGTTGCCTGGAAGCTAAGACACAACTGAAGAAAAGGCTGTGTTTTTTCCGCTTTGTACTTGTGCCTGATTTTCAATCTCACTAATGTTCTTGGTGTACTATTCACAACCCCACAATACATAAAGCTCCTACTGCATGCAAATTCATTTCTTAAGCTTTGCTTCAACAGAGGGAGAGTCAGGAATCCCTAGTGCACTATGAAATTTTTAGCTATGAGCTTGGGTGTGCCCCACTTTTACTGCCTTTAATACTTATGCATCCCTACTGAATTCATAAAGGTTGTCTTCATTTAAAGCAGAGTAAAATATAACCTATTGTTCTTATTATTAGATTAATCAAGGTTTAATGGCACAAAAGCGGTTTCCAAAATAGCTATTACATTTCAGTTTAGGCTAAAACATTGATCTCACCAGCCAGAAAGGCTGCATCGCTCCCTCCTCTGGCCAACTGGTGAATCTGTTGCAATTTTCTGAAGTCCATTTGTTTCCCTTCAGAACCACAATGTCCTGTCTTTCTTTTCTATTAAATATGAGATAATGAATATGTAAAGAAAAAGATAAACTTTAAACAGGGATTATTTGTCCGTTGCATATATTTAAAGTCATCACAATAAGCTCTCTCAGAATATTTTTTTGAATACAGATCAGATTATTCCAAGATCATAATGTAAATAGACAATGGCAATAAACCTCCTTCAACCTCAAGACACAAAAAAGCACCTAAATCAATCTTTAAGAAATGCATTTGGAAAAAAAAAATGTAGGTACCTTTGAATAGATTATGTTTTAAAATTTAACAAGTTCTTAAGGTTTGCAGTAAGTGAGAAAATATTCCACTCGAGTCTGATGATAACATAATTCTCCCATCCCTCCAATATACCAATAATATGTCAACTGGACTATAGTAACTCTTCTGTCAAATGGAAGAACTACCAAGGTTCATAATCAAAATCAGTCTTCACAGGAGACTACTTAAAACCCCCAATGCATAGTAGTGTTCCTAAAGCACTCAAATTGTTTCCTTAAGATTTACTACCGTACAGGAAGTGAAAGAGACTTATAATTTACCACAGTTTCCACAATGTCTTTTGCTCATGCAACATTGCTCTGCTATGGTTGCATTCTGCCTTTTAAAAAGTCTCAGCAGGCTTTGAGGGTAGCTCTTCTTAAAGGTGATCCCATTAACCCAAACCATTATAGGTCTCTGACACAAAGATCACTTAATTTACTAATAAACAATGAGAACTGATATGCTACAGGATTAGATACTTTAAACCATTAAGTGAGAGCATCAGACACTCGGTATTTTGCATTCACCAAGTGATTAAACCTTTCTGTTGATAGCATATATTTTAGAGATACGAAAAATATGAATGGAGTATTTAGGCTACACAATCATGTGTACAGATATGTAATTATACTAACTACAGTTAAATGTACACTTAGTGCCAGCTATTAATATATGCAGGTCAGGTTTTGGCTTTAGTAATGTTAGGGAATCCAGAATAAACCTACTTGATTGCTTGTAGTTATTTTAGGTTTATATATGGGGTTAATAAACGAGATTCAATGTATACTTCCTTTGGGCTGACTTTTAGCTATTAGAGTTGTGACCCTCTCAGGTCACAATTTATACTCGTAGCAGTGCATGCCCCTATCAACGAGCACGGTTATGAATGTAACAACCCCACCACCCCGTCTCCACATACTTGGGAGCACCTGCTTTCTAGCTCTGGGTTGATGCCGTGGGACCATGGCAGGTTTCATGTCTCTCCCATCCACCCATGAAGAATGAACGGGGAGGAAGCAACAAA